CTAGAACCCAGATGCTCTGATAACAGAACAAGACCTGCTTCAGTGTGCGGTCCCTTACCTTTTTGATGAAAGTGGGGCTGAGGGTCTCCCAGGAAACAAAATCATGTTCCATCAGCTCTACAAAGGCCTTCAGGGTATACGCCAGAATCTCCCCTGTACTGGAGTAACAGACAGCAAACAGGGTAAGAGCCAATGGGCGGGTGGGAGACTCAAACCCAGAAACCATAGGAAGGATGCATTTAGAGGAACCTAGGAGGAGAGAGAAGGAACAAAGAAGAAGAAGAAGAAAAAGGAAATGTCTCCATAAAAGCCAACGTCCCAGGAAAAAAAAAAGGCCAAGGAAGCAGAAAGAGATGGGACAGATTATTCTAAGGAAAACCTCAAGGGCCACCACAATAATGTCGTTGAGAAACACCTGCTTGTTATATTTTAAGGGTGCACTCTTTGCATAACTCACTCTGGTCACAGTGTGGACAGTTGAATCCCTAAAAATTTGTGATTATTAATTCATGAAAACAGAGGAAAACAATGGAGAAGGAAGAGTTAAAACACACAAATTTAGCTAAACCCATACGGATTGGTGCCTCCTTCCTGGGACTCAACCGGAGCAGTTCACTGATCAGTAAAGTATTATTGGCTGAAGGGGGCACCCCAATGAACAACGGGGTCCCGCATGAAAATTGTGGGCAAAGCCAAACGAAAACCAAAACATTTTTTTGGAGGGGAAATTTGCAAAGTGTTCTCCATGATGGCAAGGCTTAAAAAGAGCGGTGCTCTTAACATCGCAGTCATGTTCACGTTTCATTGGCAAATTGGCTCCAGGAATTGCGTAAGGGCATTGTAGAAGACCACATTCCGTCCATATGCCATGGATGGTCTACCCCATAGCTACCTGAGGAGCTGCAGAAAAACATCCTTGGAAGAGATCAGAAGGAAACCTCGGGCCAAAAAGCCTGAAGATACTCACTTATTATCTTCCTCCACAATCGAGAAGAGTTGATTCAGGCCATTTCTGCTAATAAACTCCTGCGCAAAGGCCACATCCCGGGACAGGCTGGCCAGCTTCTTCAAAGAATTGGTCTTCACGTCCACACTGTTGCTTTGAATGCCCCCGTGCAGCTTTGCTGCCTCTTGATCCTGCAAAGAGATATTTGGGGGGGGAAATCAAAGAGGATGACATAGCCACACTTGGAATATTGCTGCGTTCAGTTCTGATCACGTTATTGTCAGGATTCCAGCAATTGCTATTTTATGGCACTGAGGGAGAAAAAAAAGCTAAGGCGTATTTTATAAGGTTTCTAAAATAATGCATGGCATGGAAGAAGAGAGTGGTAGCTTGGCTCTTCCCACAGAATCAAAATCCTGGTTGATCCAATGACCAGCAATAGTTTTTAATGCCAGTAAAATCATACTTATGCCAGAGTTGGTATTCAGCAGGTTCTGACCAGTTCTGGGGAACCGGTAGCAGAAACTGAGTAGTTTGGAAAACCAGCAAATACCGCCTCTGACTGGCTCCGCCCCCTCTATTCTCCGCCTCCCAAGTCCCAGCTGATTGGCTGGCTCTTCTTTTGTTGCCCTGCACAGGAGAACGGAACTGGAAAGCAGGTTAGTGGGGTGGGAATGGGGATTTTGCAGTATCCTTCCCCCAGAAGTGGGGAAGGAATGGGGATTTTACAGTATCCTTCCCCTGCCACAGCCACCAAGTCACGCCCATAGAACCAGTAGTAAAAAATTATGAATCCCACCACTGACTTATCCCCTCAGCAGAGCACAATCAAGGAAGGAAGATTCTTTAAACGAGTGTAAACAACAAGAAATAAGCCTCCGATTACAAAAAAAGCTTGAAAAGTGAGATAGGAATTCCCCCAGCCTTCCTTTTATTAGTGAGTTCCTTAAGTTCAGGTCTCCTCTGAAGCTTCTGAATTTCTTTTTCCCAATTTGTTTGCACATCCCTCGGGCTGAAAATCTGTGTGTGTGTGTGTGTGTGTGTGTGTGTGGTGATAAGTCCATAGTAAGCTGACTTATCTGCTGATAGTTTCTACAGATCTTTTTCCTCTCTGTCTCAGCAAAGCCTCTAGTTATATATATATATTTGCAACACATTTGGTGGAATAGTGGGAAGGTAGGTAAGTTTTGCATTTGCACCAAGGTGATTTCTTCCCCCCCACCAAAAAAAAATAACTAAATGAAACCAAGAATTGACTCAAGCCAACAGTAAAAGTTACATTAATGCAATTGCTGCGAGTTCACATTCTGCAGATGTGTAAGGTGGGCAGATGTGTTCCCATTGAACGTATCTGGAGGGGTCTGGATTGAGGAAAGCTTGTGTTAAAACCTCAAAAGGAACACAACTGCAGCCCATCTCAATGCTGCTTCGATTATGTGCCTAGGAATGGGCATAATAATATTTTGCTGCTAAGCACTGGAATCTTAAAACAGTAAGGACTGTAAAATTTAGCCAAAGTAGCAAGAACAAAAAGTAACTCAAAAGTATTGACATAAATAGATGGTAAAAATAGTAGCCAGGATGTGGGTGGTTTTTTTTTTTAAAAAAAACAGCTCTCACTCAAAAAGCGTTCTGTAGCAAGTCGGTGTTTATTTTCCTTTGAATTTCCTCCAAGTAAGGAAGAAAGAAGCAGCTGAAATGAGTTAAGGGCCACCGTGATAAGAAATCAATGACCTTTGACCATCAACGTCCTCCATCCAATCCTTAAAAACAAATAAATAACTGAAAATTGATGGAGGAAACTGCATGACTTTACAATAAAAGCCTCATTTGAAAGTCTTTTATTTTTCATCTGCCCACCTTGCTCCGAGGTGGAGTCAGGGAGACTGAATGGAGCTAGAATTTATTGGCCAGATGCCCTTCCTGACATCTACACAGGGTTCACAGCAGATATTTTCTCTTTGTGCTCTGAGAGAGAGAAACATCTGTCTCTCCCTAGGATTGAACTCTCAACCTTCTGAGTGGGAAGCAAGCTCTTCACTTCTAGGCCAACGAGCAGCTCTGAAAGTATTTTATAACACAACCATATTTGCAGTTTCCCAAATTTGCCAAAAAAAATAAAATGCATCACCATCCTAAGGGTGTGCGTAAATTATCAAACTGGAATAGCCAGCAGGATGTTAAGGGGTTATCTGGTTTTGTTCGAATGATTAGTCTGCAAGATTTGCAAGATGACAAAAGCCCAGTAAGAAAATAAGGGGGAAAAGCATGCAGAAATCACATGCTTGGAATCTACAGAAGACATTGTCCTTGAGCAAAGACAAAATTCGGAATGCTTTCCTGTTTACATTGGGACCTACCGGAGCAGTGGTCAACTGCAGGATACTCCCATTCTTAATTTCTCCACGGTTCTGACAAAACAAGAAAACAATTGCACAATCAAAATCTCAAAACACTGAATAAAAGCAGCCAAAGATGAACTTGGAGAGGAAAAAGTTCAAAGCGATCTTCCAAATTTCTATCTTGCCAACATTTTAACTAGCCTTCTAGGAGAACTGAAAAATAAGAGGCAGAAAAAGTTGTTTTACTAATGGTAATCATTCAATGTTCATCTTTTTTTTTTTTTGGCCAGGCTATAATCATCCTTGCAGGCATTTTTTTTTTTTTTTTTTTGCAGGTTGGTCTACTAAACCCTTTCTCAAATGCACTCACCAGTTCTGTGATGTAAGCTTGTTGGCCGTCCACGTACTGCAGAGCATAACGCTCGGAATTATTTAGGTTCCACCTATGTTAGAGACAGACAATTGGAATTTGGCCCAGGGTGCAGAGATCCCTCCCCAAAACTGGGGTATTTCCATCTCCCAGGAAAGAAACTGGACATTCA